TTCACTCCTGTGTCCTGCATTCTTGTGATTCAGCTATCCCACTACCAGCTAAAAAGTTGGTTCTCTACATCTGCTATGCTGATTATTAGGAGGTGTTAGGATTACTGCTGCATAATGGTACATGGAAGAACATGTCTAGAATTTAATGCCTCTTGCATACTGTGCTAGAATTAAGAGTATATTAGGAGTATATATAACACTAACTAGAAAGATGAGGGAAGATGAAAACAGTGGTAAGGAATGGACCTTCTAATATTTGTATATTAAGTTAAAAGAGGTAATGATAAACTACCGTGATAGTCAATGTAATTGGTAAGAAAGGACTTTTGAACAGAAGGGGCAATCTGTCAGGGAAGTCTTGAGTTAAATATCTTAGCAAAATCTGGTAATGGGAAAAGAAAAGCATTCCAAAGCCCTCTTCCCTAAGGGGGACATGGGAAGGATAAAAGGATACGAAGGAAATGAAAGTGTTCTAAAGGTCTATTTTAGTAGGTGAGGGCATGATGCTGTGTGGAAAGAAAGTTCTTGGCTACAGTTGTTACCTTGTTATCACACAATAGTGCTTGATTCTGAATCAGGAACCCTTAATGCATATCAGTTAGAATAGAACTTTCAAATTATCAAGGATCGGCAAAGCTGATTTGGTAAAGGAAAAGAAAAATGCAAGATACACAGTAATATAAAATAAAGGAAAATGAAGAAACATCCTATATGCTTGCATGGGAGAATTTAATATCATAAAATACCATTTTTCATAAACACAAAAATTTTTTTTAATTAGAAAAAAAATCTGAAAAAATACATAAATGAATGCCTGAGAGTATCCAGAAAAGTGTTTTGAAATAACTGAAACAAGAGAAACTTGTTTCGAAACAAGGAATAACATAAAGCCAATTTGATTAAATCATTCTGGTATTGACAGTAATATAAAATAGATAATGGAAAGAAACAAGAATCCAGAATAGATCCAGAAATAGATACAGGAGATAGCTCTCTCTATATATCTACCTACCTCTGTCTCTGTTTCTCTTCAGTAGGAAAATGATCAATTATTTAATAAATAGAGAAAATATAATTGGTTACCCATCTGGAAGGAAATGAAACTAAAAGCATATCTTGTATCATGTACATAGAAATATATGAGTATAAGAAAATTCACAAATTTTGTTTGGCAGAAGTTCTCATAAAGTTAAGGGATATATAATAGAAAAAAAAACATAAAAGACAGATGGAAGACTAATATGTAGTATACATAGAACTCTTCCATTTTGCCAAGCAGGGAGTGTTAAAAAAATATTCAATGACACTTGTTAAAGATGGTAAGGCGACTTTATTCAGGACCATCAAGATAGGTATAAGGACTACTGAAAAGATTGGGCTCAACTCCCGGTGTAGCATAGGCAAGTGAGAATTTACAGCCAAGGTGCAGGGTGGGGGTCAGGGTCACTTGGGTTGGTGGAGAATTAGGAACCTGATCAGATATTGAGAGTGAGAGGGTTCTGGTTAAACTGTCTTACCAGAGCTCTTGCTGAGACCAGATTTTACAAGGAAGTGCACAGGTGGGGCTCGGAGAGGTTTAAGCCTGACGAAAGTGTTGGTCAAGCAAAGAATCATGTAAGAAGTAATCCAATAGAAAATTGATAAAAAGGACAAAGAATGTGAAGAGGCAATTCATAGAAGAGTAAATCTAAATGAGCAACATGCTTATAGAGATACTCCAATAGTAGTATGGGAAATGCAAATTAAGGTAAGATGATTTTACATTTATCAAACGGGTGTTAGTAGGTATTTTAGATGATAACACTGATTGATGACAAGAATATAGGGAAAGAGTACTCAAACGTTGGTGAAAAAATTTCTAACAATATGAAAAGAAATTGGGTAAGATATACTGAACTTAAACTGTATGTACACTTCAACCCAGAAACTCCACTCTTGGGAATATAACTTACAGGGAAAAAGTCAATATTATATAAAAATACATACACAGGAATAGTTGTTGAAGCATGGCTTTGGGTGGCAGAAAACTGGAGTGCACATCAATAGAGAACTAGTTGCACAGATTGTTACAAATACACTGAAGTGTTAAAAGGGGTGAATTTAAGTTACATTTTAGAGTTGAAGGAATTTTAATGAGGTGGTATTAAGTGAAAAAAAAGATGCTGTAGAGAGTATAATATGAAATTTTTTTAAAAAAAAACAAAAGTCAGGGCACCTGGGTGGCTTAGTTGGTTAAGCATCCAGCTCTTGATTTCAGCTCAGGTCATGATCTCAAGGTCATAGGACTGAGCCCTGCATTAGGCTCTGTGCTGAGCGTGGAACCTGCTTAAGATTCTCTCTCTCTCTCTGCCCTTTCCCTCCCCACCTCAAAAATAAGTTAAATAAATAAATAAAAATAAAAAGACAAAAGTCCTCCATGTGCTTATATGTATATATGTACTCTGTGTGATTACTTGGACGTGCAGAAAATAGGAATGGTGCATATACTCTTTGTTGACATGAGCTCCATCTAATTGGCTGATGTGCATGAGGAGAAGGAGAGATGGAAGAGGAGAGAGGTAATGGCGAACCAAAAAAGCAAAATACAAGACTCTAAAAGAAAGTAAAATATGTTATATGGTCATATTTAGGGAGTTATGTATATATACATATACGCAATCTAAAATAATTCAAGGAAGAACATCACAGAAGTCTTCCTCTTTGAAACTGGAGGCACCTTCCCTCTATTAATTTTTAACACCATGCCAGCCTCAAAGATCTTGAACCCTTAATGTTCTGTACAACTTATCTTTCCTGAAACTAGAATTTATGTTCTAGAAGAGTTAGCTGACATCACATGAATGAAGAATATGAAGGACTTAAAATGTGAATATTCCCCTCTCTTCACCATTCACTTCAGTTTCAGCTTCTCAGCCTCAAATCTCTTTTTCTGGGGGCGCTTAGGTGGCTCAGTTGGTTAAGCATCTGCCTTTGGCTCAGGTCATGATCTCAGGGTCCTGGGATCGAGCCCCACATCCGGCTCCCTGCTCAGTGGGGAGCCTGCTTCTTTCTCTGCCTCTGCTTCTCTTACCCAGCTTGTGCTTGCTCTCAAATAAATAAATAAATCTAAATCTATCTATCTATCTATCTATATATATATATATATATATCTTTTTCTGTCACCAAGTGGCCAACCCCTAGGGAAGTGTCAATGCCCATTTAGTTCTTAAATCAGCTCCTTTTTTGAAGCTCTCACTTTACAGTCCTGGACTGATGATAGAAGGGGCCCTGAAGAGAAATAAAGAGAGACATTATTTCAAGTTGGAATTTGAATTACACTTTCACATAGAAGCATTTTATAAATTTTGGTTATAGGCTTTCTAATACCGTTTGTGCTAGAGTTCAGGTAAAATTAAGCACTAAGTAGGCTTTTGAGGCCTTTCCTAAGAGAATAATCACCAGCTATAATCTTATTTCTAATAGGAAATACAGTGTATTGCACACTTAAAAAATATGAAACCAAGCTGTTTGTAAATTAGGAACTATCTTAGTGAAAGAATTTTGTAAATTATAAAGCTCATGTACAAATGTTGAACATAAGGGTGATCCAATTTTGATTTGGTGGTAGTCTTGGCAATTATGATTGACTAGAATTATTTTCCTTCAATCCTCACTGCTGCCTTTGAGACCATCCTGGAGCTCTCTCCTAAGCCAAAGTGACTAACCTTATAAGGTAGAGAAGCCTCTTCTTCAGTCAAGGCCTTATTCATTTCTGGTTATTATAGTTGTTAGCCTTGTTTCTGCTGCAGGGCTAGGCTCTGAATTTTTACCTACATTTCCAACCCTAAATAGGAACCACAGGTCATAAGGTGGAAAAGAAAGTTAACATTTATTGAGCATCTAACCATGAGCCAAGTTGTTTAATCATTACAGTAACTATCAAGTAGATATTCCAAATGAGGATTTCACAGGATTAAATGATTTTCCTTGTCTAGCATCAAGTAAGTAGTGGAGCTAGTTTTTAAAATATAGGTAATAATTTTTCATTTTAACTTTTATTTAAATATAACAGATATACTAAATAGTTTATGAATCAGAAGTGTTCGTTGTTGAATTTTCACAAAGTGAACACTCTAAAACTAGCCTCCAGGTCAAGAAATGAAACATTACCAGAATATCAGAAGCTGCCCAGTGCATGCTCATTATCCTCTCCCCAAGAGTGACCACTCCTGATTTCTAACACTTCTAACATCAGAGTAGTTTAGTTTATATTACATCAGTTTTGACTGTTTTTGAACTTTATACAAGTGGGATCATACAACATATACTATTTTATGTCTGGCTTCTTTCAACTTTCTGTTTGGGCAGTTCATTGATATTGTTACATGCAGTTGTAGTTTGCTCATTCTCATTACTGTGTAATACTCCGTTGTGTGAATATACCTCAATTTGCTTATCCATTTTACTGTTAATGGACATTTGGATAATTTCCAATAGCTAATTAGCTATTATGAGTAGTACTGCTATGAGCATTCTTGTACACACATATCTTTTAGTCACAAATGTACACATTTCTGCTGAATGTATACTTAGGAGGGCCATCACTGTGTCACAGGATTTGCATTAGGAGTCTTGATTACTTTATATTTTTCTTAACTGCCAAACAGTTGTCCAAAAGTAGTTATACCAATGTACACTGTCACCAGCAGCCTATGGGAATTCTGACAGTCCTCATCCATTCTGACAGAGGCATTTTTTTTTAAAAAGATTTTCATTTTTATTTATTTGACTGAGAGAGAGACAGCAAGAGAGGGAACACAAGGAGGGGGAGTAGGAGAGGGAGAAGCAGGCTTCCCGCGGAGCAGGGAGCCCAATGCAGGGCTCCATCCCAGGATCCTGGGATCACGACCTGAGCCGAAGGCAGACGCTTAACGACTGAGCCACCCAGGTGCCCTAACCAGAGGCATTTTGAAACAAGGTTTCTTATTCTAAAATCTAATATCATTATGTTACTTTAAATTTTATTTAAAGGTAAGAACTTGGTAACAATTTTCTTTTATAAATTCCATGATTCTTTCTAAGATTTTTCTTTGTTCATTAAGTGAGTTTCCTTTTTCATACTGGAAAATATATCTGTGCTGAATAGAATTTAGCAGGGTTAGCAGTGTATCGGAGGCCTCGTGCAAATATTTATCTTCACTGAACCCAGCCTCTTCTATTTTCTCTGCATGGGTGAAAAGAATGGCAGTGTAATTCTTCCAAGCATGTCCCAGAAGTTCCTGAAAGAAGAAGTTAAATGGCTATTTGCCTTGGCCTATATTCCTCAAACACAAGCAAAGGAGTTATTATGGTCCAACATAGATAGTCAACAGATCTGGATGACATTATGTTACTAAAAGCAGATATATGTAATGGGAAGTGAAGACGGAGTCAAATAATGTAAGTAAATGGAGAAAGATGGTTGGATTTTGTAAAAAAAAAAAAAAAAGGAGGGGGCTTTATGTCTCCATTTTATTTTGCTCTTATAATTTATGTATACACAACTTCAGAACTGCATATTATTAATGCTGCATATGATACAACTTAATTTACAACATTCAGCAATAATTGATATTTACCTGCCAACCTGAAGCTGTTAGAACCACAATTCCTTTAAGTCAAAGGACTTTGGCCAAGGGAATTGTCATATCTTTTTTTATAGGAATGTTGTGTTATTATCATAACTATAAGTATCCTCTGAGGATTTATAATTACATAATCTGGTTACAATCTATTGATTAATCAGATGACATGTAATGGAAAAGCTAAGATCAAACTACATTTAGTGATTTGGAACAACTACAGAAATATCACTGATTTGCATCCTCTTCACATGCCTAGAATCAAGCCCAGTTTATCAGATGACTTCCTCTAATGTGGTTGAAAAACATCGAAGACTGGTATTCCTTTGGTTAGTAATATGTGGAAGTTGTTTATGGAATAATATCTTTTTTGATTAGTGAAAATAAGCTGATATAAAATGGAAGTGACGGGACATGGCAAATTGTTCACACAATATGAAAGGTGTCTAGAAATAACCATTTAACATTTTTAATATTTCAAAAGTTATATGAAACCATGACATTGTGAAAGTAAAATGACATTCCCTTCATTCCAAATATTCTCGTTACCATTATATTTTCAAAGGTGCTACCAGTTTATAATAGCAACTTGGAATTTAGACCTTCACCATCATCTCAAATAGGTTTAAAGTATTACTTATTTCTGAGTCCTCAGAAAAATATAAAATACTTAGGAATAAATATAACAAGAAATATCCAGGACCTCTAGTAATCAGAAGAAAGAAAGAAGAAAGAACAACTAATATTTAGTGCTAGGTATTATGCTGGGCACTTTACAGGTTTATCCTTTTGAAATTCAACATAATGCTTTGTGGGAGATAATATCAGTACAAACTCTGGTTTAAAAAAATCTTAAAAAATTGAAAAACAGTTTAGGAAACTATTTTCATTGTGTATAACAAATGTGGGATTGGTATTTATAAGACTGAAAAACTGAAAATGAAAAGAAGAGAGAAAGAGGGAGAGATGAAGGAAGGAAGGAAGAATCAAGACATGTAAATAATATGGAAATATGGCAACTGTGGGACAATATATTTAAACTTAAACATCTCGAGACCATGATTACTAATTATAATTCCTAATATAGTTTGTCATTTATCAGAGCTATGTATTTACACATTTATCTCTGTACCTTGACCATGAGCTTTTGGAAGGCAGAGTCTGTCTATATCAACCAAAGCCTCTAGCACGTTGTAAACTCTCAATAGAAATTGGTTGGATTAATCTGTAATTTGGACCCTCACCATCATCTCTTACAGAAGGTTTAGGGTTTTATTTATTTGTTTTGAATCTTCAGTTTTGAAGTTTAATCTTCAGGACACAAAATTTACCTTCCTGTAAAATTTCTCTTTTGTTCTATAGTTCATTCTCATGGATTTGCATGTAGTCTGCACTTTCTCTTTTGCATTCAGAAAGACTCTCTCAGTGAATAAGTCCAAAATTTTTCCTCATATCTGTTTAAAATTTGTCTACACCATAGAATAATTGTATATTTCTGATTCTCCTAAAAGTATCCTGCCTGAAGAAAATCTGAACTGAAGTTTCAAGATCAGTACATTAAATGAATAATTATTTTTAACAGATTCTAAACTTTACAAAAGAATTTTTAAAAAGGTACTTTAATTGGTATATTCTTATGTGCCATCAAAACACAAATTAGCAAAATTTAAATTAACCCAACTTTTAAAGACAAAGCTCTTTGTAAAGCTCTTTGTAATTTGCAAAATTTAAATTAACCCAACTTTTAAAGACGATAGCTCTTTGTAAATCTAAATACTTAGATTTACAGCATTGCATTTTAGGTAATAGTGACATAACAAAATTTGTCATGCTCAGCATGTTGTAACAAACTTCTAGTGAAAGGAGATCAAAGAGTCACAAAAAAAGTGGTATTATGGTTTGAATTGTGTACCCCCTCCAAACTCATATGTTGAAATCCTAACCTCTAGTACCTCAGAATGTGACTTTATTTGGCAATAGGGTTGTTGCCAGTGTAATTAGGCAAGTTAAGGCCAATAATGCAATACGATTGGTGTTCTTATAAAACAGAGAAATATGGACAAAGATATGAATACAGGGGAAAATGCCATGTAAAGATAAAGGCAGTCATCCATAAGCCAAGGACAGAACCTTTGGATAGAGTCTTCACTTACAGCCCACAGAAGGAACTAATCCTGCCAATGTTCATTTCAGATTCCTAGCCTCCAGAAGTGAGGGGTAATAAATTTGTGTTGCTTACAAGCCACCCAGGTAGTGAACCTTGTTATGGCAGCCTAGCAAATTAATACAAATAGTTGAAAAATCAATGAAGTGCTAAATAGATCTATTTTCTGGGAATAAAAAGATTCCTGGGTTATGTACATCAGAACCACTTGAGATACTTGCTACAAATGTGTCAGAATCTTTAGGGATGGAACCTGGGAATTTGAATTTTAAAAAGAATTCTAGGTGATTTATTCCTTCTGCAAATATTTATTGAGGGTTACTTTGTTCCAGGGACACAGTGGACCATGACCTACACTTTTCTGCTTATGTCTAGTGGAGATTCTTTTGTACTAACTTACAACTGAGGAAGAAGGACAGACAGGAAAGAAAATACTTTCCATTTGTTGTAATTGCAGGTGTTGTGATAGAAAATATATTGGTGCTATAGAGGCAGACATTTGGCCCAGTTTGGGGTGGGGGTGGAAAGTGAGGTAAAGGGAGGAGTCAGGAGAAGTTTCTAGCATGTGATGATGCCTTGAGCATAGGGATCAAGGGAGTTATGGGGCAGTGAAGACATACCAAGTAAAGAGAGTGATTGAGCCTTATTGGGGATTGTGTAGTATTGGGATTTTACTTCTGTACAGTTATTGATCCTTGAACATTCTTGTCTCTGAAAGTTTCTCAAATTTAGAGCAAGTTCTGATATTCACCCAGTACATTATTAATGTGTTTATTTTGATTGTCATAATATTGAAATGTGTGTTACAAGTTAATAAATAGACACTACCCTTAACCTCTTGAGGGCTACCCCCAGGTCTACCCCATGGGTTTCAGTTGATGCATGAACCACATTTGTCATTAAATATTTTTAAAACATCACCATAATAAAAATTCATGCAAAATAAACTGGCCCAAGTGATCCCTTCCTGAGTTATATATTATAATGTAGAATTCTTCTCTTGCTAGGTTAGTACTTATTGCATTCAATGGTATAACTTTCACAGTATGTCCTTCGTTCCTGGTTTTCTGGGTCGTAACATCAACACATTCCCTTTTTGTCTCCACCAGACATTTCCTATACTTTAACTATAATAACACTCAAGAAAACTGAGTTAAACCACCTAAGGAAAATAGATTTGTAAGCTCGGCACTACTTACAAGTCCATGTGTTCAGCCACTGGGAAGTTTTTACATGTTGATAATTATTTATGAAAGGATGCTCATGTCCTAAACTGTGAGAAAAATTGCACTTTTGAATTACTGCCAGAAATAGAAGAGAATGGTTGATTTAGCTTATAATCTTTAGATTGATTTTTGGCCGGAAAATAGTTGACTATTTGAAAATAGTGTCACTTGGTGTATAGTCATCATGTTAGTGGCCAAATGTGTTCTCTATGGACCTAGAGAAAGAATAATCACAGTTGATTGCTACCTCACATAAAAATCCAAGAGTAAGATAAGTTACTGTAAGTTATCTGGTGTTAATAATTTAAATATAGTACTAAGCTAGATGGAAATTTTACAATCAATCATGAATTGTTTGGTTTCAGAGTGCTAATGGGTATGAGTCCATCTAGTCCTTTTGGGACAGCTCATTAGGATATAAACTTTGTTTTCCAGGAATTATGTTCATTTTCCCAGGACCTCACCAGCCCTGCCCCATTTGTTTGTGGTTGATGAAATCATAGCATCTGGACTTTTTAGGGGGAATTTTTTAAAAAGCCAACTATTACATCAACTGAGAAAAAAAAATTATCGTGGAACAGGAGGACAATAAGGACCGTTCTTTGTATTTCAGACTATTCCTTTACTCTCATCCCACTTAAAGCACCACATTTCCTTCTCCAAGAGCTGAATGATAAGACCTTGTTCAATCAGATTCAGTTAATATTCAGCCTTACAGATCTTCTGTCCAAATTGCCTTATTGTACAGAGGGGGATATTGTGACATGTGATGTTAAATGGCCAAAGCTGCACAGCTGATTGTTGGCAGGCCTGGGCCTAGAACAGAGGTCCCCTACCTGCCCGGACATGGCCTTCCCACTAAGTTGGAGTTTCTCACTTTAACCTTTACTAAACCAGAGAATTTTCTTCCCAGATTTTTTTTCTAAATTAGTAGGGAAGTTCTTATACATCAGGGCTGTGTAAATTTGATTTCACTCTGATTTTCTTCTGAAGCCTGTCAAGATAATCCTGAAGAAGGTTACAAATAATATGTCCTAATTTTAGCATAAGACAAAACTAACAATAAAATTATAGTGGCCATAGCTTACATTTAGTATACACTCGTCTTGTGTTAGTGCCTGAGTTAATTTACTGTTACGTTATTATGAAATTAGTCCTGAAAATAACCCAGTCAAGTAGACACTGTTATTTTTCCCAATTTACCAATGAAGAGATTGAAATTTAGAGAAGCTGCTTGCCCAAGGTCATAAAGCAAATAAGTAACTAAGTAGGAGCTTGAACCCAAGTATAACTTACTCTAGAACCCATGCTCTTAACCTCTATAATAGATTGCTCATATCTAGTAATTCGTTTGAATAGGTACTCATCACAGTTTGCATAGTGACAATAACAATAAAAATGTTAACAATGATAGTAACTTTCTGTGAATCTACTGTAAGTCAGGCACAATGCGCAATCCCATCACATTCATTAAACATAACCCTTAAAACTCTTCAATGTAGGTAAAATTATTCTCATTTTATAAGGGAGGAACTGAAGCCAAGAAACTCATAGTAACATTTATAGGCTTATTTTTCAACTAAATTCTATCCAACAACTAAGCCCATTATCTTCATTAAGTATTTTCAGGCCTTGCATTGGCCTTTCTGAGCCTTTTGTACACACACCCAACCTATAACATCAAATTTGAGTTGTTCATTCTAAATCAAAAATGTCTCTTTGAAGCCTGATTATGTACAGTAATAATACATGATACCATGAGAGTGGAAAGAATTTGGACTTTAGTCAATTCCTGGATTCAATTCCTAGTGCAGTTTGGCTGCTTGCTAGCACTTTTCTTAAGGTGACTTTATTCTGTCTTCCCTTATTCATTATTTGTGGATTTTTAAATAACATTCAAATGATACTCAGATAATATTTAGATGAATCATTCCCTTTATTTCCCAATTTTGGGGAGATGACTCACTGACATCTCCACCATTTTGCTGTAAATTATGAAGGCCTAACATAAATAAAGAAAAAGGGATCATTTGGGGAAATGTTTCATTTGTCATAGCTGGCAGCCTATAACCCCTCTAAAAAATATTAGAGCGCAAATTAAAAGAGATATTTAAAGAGGCCATAGGGAGGTACAGGAAAAAAGAGGTCACTTCTCTGGCATTGGCCTTGTAGGTTCCTTCCATGGCATCAATGAGTGCCCCCAGAAAGGAGGAAAGGAAAAGGGAGAAGGCAGATATTCCGTTCCCCATTTTGCATAAGCTAGGAAGAAAAAGAAATCCAGGGTGTGTCTGGAACCAGAGGACCTTAACAACTCCTTGCTCTTCCTAACAGCTGTTGGTCCTGTTGAATATTCAGACATTCTGCAGCTGCTCCCAATCTGTGAGCACATCCAGATGGCTGCCACCAGTAACTGAAGCACCTTCAGGAAGAAGGTCATAAACAGCCAGCTTGTGCATAGGCGATCTTCAACCAAAAATTACGATAGAAGCCCAGAATAGGACTGCAGTGCCTCCCAGGGGTCATGGGCCCCTCTGAAGCTTACTAAATCTTGGCTGCTGAGTTTTCCTGGGAGGGAAAACATATTTATTTAGAAAAAAAAATTCTGGATCTGAGTTTTACTCTAGCCCATCTCTGCCTTTAAGTCATGAACTGGACACTGAATTAAGAAGGCAGTGCTAAGAGAATGTGGCTGTATGCCAGGTACCTTTTAAAAAGATCAGAGACATTTATGAATCAAATTCACTTGTATAAAAAAATTAGAGGATTACAATAGAGTTCTATATCCTAAAACTGGAAAAAAATCTATTTTTAAAATGTATGTCTTGTATTTTTTTATTTATTTATTTGGCAGACAGAGAGAGCACAAGAAGGGGAAGTGGCAGGCAGAGGGAAAGGGAGAAGTAGACTCCCTGCTGAGCAGGGAGCCTGATGCGGGGCTCAACCCCAGGACCCTGGGATCATGACCTGAGCCAAAGGCAGACACTTAACCGACTGAGCCACCCAGGTGCCCCTAAAATGTATGTCTTTTAAAATACCCTTTTCAGGGTGCCTGGGTGGCTCAGATGGTTAAGCATCTGCCTTTGGCTGAGGTCGTGATCCCAGGGTCCTGGGATAGAGTCCCACATCGGGCTCCCTGCTCCTTGGGAGCCTGCTTCTCCCTCTGCCCCCCTCTCTCTCTCTCTCTGTCTCTCATGAATAAATAAATAAAATCTTTTAAAAAAAATACCCTTTTCAGCTAAGCATAGGACCAGCATAGAGAAAAATTTAGAGACATGTGGAGAGAGATTAGTTTTTCAGAGATATTTGTACATTTACTGAATTTACTGAGTTATATCCATCTGTACCTTCAACTAAATGTTTATTTAATAGCAGCTTAAATGAACTTTAAAACTTATTTAAAAAATTACAGCGATGGAATGGCAACAGGTTTTCCCCCACTTGATTTCTACCAGAAATATTGTTTGAAATACAGGCTTTAATAGTTTGGGGGAGGTTTGTGGGCTTTCTTAGATTCCACATTGTTTCTTAATTGCAATCATCTTCTCTTCTTTACTTTTGCACAGCATGTCCTTGACTTTTCAGGAGTTGGATGATGAGGAATATTTTTTATACTCTTGTCACCCTAATTTTTTCCGCTAGTTTGCTGTGATTTCACATATGGCTTTTTTTTTTTCATTTTTAAAAACATGCACAGTTACTGAAAAAAAAAAGTGTGTCTGTCTTTTAGAACAATCTTATGCCTTTACTAGTTAAAGGGAAAAAATATTTCTCTGAATCTAAGTATACTATCTTTCTAAGTGTAACAGATCCTATATCAACGTGATCAGAGATTGGGCCAAAAGAAGAGTAGCATTTATACAAATTCTTGAATGAAAAATGTCTGCTTTCTATTCTCCCTGTAGTTTATCTGTGGAGCTTCTAGTAATGATGAGTTCTCTTATCTCGGTGACTTAATGAGGCTACTGAGTAATACTAGTCAAGTCCAGCAGTTAAATTTGGGTGGCTCCAGACTAGAGAATCAAGAGATTGAGTAGAATGGAGCAGCTCAATGAGCAGTTTCCAGGAATTGTTGGTTATAGATGGACCTGGTTCATATATGTGTGTACCCTATGCAAGTATTACTCCCTCCATCTCCTAGTTATAGCCATACTCAGAACCCCTCCCCATTCCAAGGTCCTTACTTAGGCTGGCTGAACAAGCTTCCAACTTAGTGACTTCTAATAAATGAACAAACATGGATGGACCACTTGGCAAAGGGGGCATATGTTATTCATGTTCACACCGAGGTCCCTCTGGTCTTTTCTTGGCTACAGTGGATCAGTTGCTGACCCTACAGATGATGAGGCACTCAGAGCATCTGAAATTCCTGATTTCTTTCCTATAAATAAAGCATAGTTCACCATGATGTAAGTCACAGTGAAACCTGCTTTCCCCCAGGCCATACATTATACTACTTTGGCACTTAATGCATTGTCTTATACTTGTTTATTTATTTGTCTGTTCTACACTGTAAGTTTTTTGAGGGCAGGGCTCATATATTGTTCACCAGTCATTAAGCTCTGTGTAAGTACCTGATACAGTTTTCAATGACTGAATCAGTGAATGAACACACATTTGTTGCAAGTTTTAGTAGTTCTTAAACGTTGCCATTTAAAAAAAAAATATGGAAAATTTATGCAAATGCAGGTATGCAGGTTCTACTCTTGAAACTCTGTTTCAGTAGGGCTTGGATGAATATGCATTTTTAACAACAGCCCAGTTGATTCTGAAGCAGATAGTCTGGAGGCCACATTTACAAACTCACTTAGGGGTTTGTTAACCTCTGAAGTCTAGCATCTTATTTGGGGGTTGGGGGTTTGTGTATGACATAGTTGTAAAATGACTAACTGAATTCCTCTAAAGGAAATTGTAAAAATGACTCTTGGTAGGAAAAATCAAGTAATTTTTACCATTTCTATTTGACCAACACTTGTTTTAAACTTGCTCTAACCTACTCTTTTGAGCAGATTGTCATAGGATAATGTCCTCCAAATAGAAATAATGGCATTAGTGTAATCGGCTTTTTGTATTACCTGAATCATCTGGACTGAGGAAGATGCTTCCTGTCCTTAGAGAGGCACGTCTGCTCTCTGGACCAGCAGCGCAACTTGGAGACCCTCTTGTCCGAAGTGATGTGCCAGGGCCTCCTTGACCTCCTGTTTCACACGCTCCTGTTTCAACCTGCTGTGTGGATAACCTGGAGTGTCCAACACCTGGATCTGCAAGGTTATCTCTTGCCCTCCTCGACGCATGAAGGCACAGAGGTGACAACTGCAGCCCAGACAACAATCTTTGGTTACAGAACATGGAGAAAAGCTGCTGTGGAAGTCTGTACTTCCCAGAAGAATGTTCCCAGCAGAACTTTTTCCACTCTGAGTCATGCCAAAGAGGGCCAAGTTGATGATCATCTTGTTGGAGTCTGTCATGTCTATGGGTAAACAAAGGTTCAGCATAAGCAGTTAGGCTTCTATATTCACCCAATGTAAGGCTTTTTACTTGGCCTGGAGCACTCCTGGTACTACTTTTGGCTTACTTACCCCTCATTCATAGTGACTGAAGCATGGAGGAGTGCTCCACTAAAGTGGAGACACCCCAGTGACAGTGGGAAGTTTGAAATAATATTGGTAGTTTGCAATGGGAGAGGAGAGAAAAGTCAAATATAGATAAGGAAGAGATGAGGAAGCAATAATTGCAGGAAATGAGGGGAATAAAAACCAAATTACATGAAGATAATGTAAACCATCTTTAGGAGGAATATGTTAACTCATCAATGTGGCAGGTAAGTCGGTTTAGCAATGGGTGCTGAGTTTTCTGAGTTCATTAACAAGACTAGCAGCAGTATTTGAAAATCAATCACTCTTGGAGAAGAAGAAGGAACAGAAGAGTGGAAGAAATGGATCTTTCTGGCATGTTAAATAACATCCCCTACGTCCCCACCTCCCCACCCCTGGAATATACAAGTGGCATCTGCAAAAAATTATCTTTCCTGACTTCCTGAATGCTTGTCTCCTATGAAACATGAATACTGTTAAAGAAGATTTCTGTTTTTGTTTACTATTTTTTTTTACAACCAGGCAACATTCTGATGAAAATGAGAACTGCTTGTAATTTTTGTTATGAAATAATTAATAAATCATTTCCATGGTCTACCATGGTAACTTACTGGCTTTTGAATAAAGGAAGTAAAGCCCAACACATTGTGTAGCTCAGTGAGGAGGGAGGAGAATCTTGAGAGAATCTATTCCATTTACAACACCCCTAAATGGAGGTAATCTTTTGTGTAGAACATAAGCATTTTAAGGTCATTGATCATTTTCATTAGATCAGTACAACAGAGCTACAGGCCAATTGCCAAATGAACTCAACCTGCTGATTCAGAAGTAAGGACATTTAATTAAAATTGCATATTTACTATTTTTGCTTGTAACTTGTACTTCTATTACTCAGTTTTATGTACCTCTGGCCTTTCTTGTCCTCTATTGCCTCTCACCCCAGTCTCCCTAGGCTCTAATATGAACATTTTGAAGGAACCTCAAACCCTCCCACAAAAGACACTCATTTTTGGAGCTCCTCAAGGTGACCCCAGTTTACCCAGCTCATTCAGCTATGTTGGCTGAGCCACAGTCACTCAGATTTCTTTTTACTCCTGAATCAAATGTGTAATTAAAAAAATAATAATTATTATAGAATCCCAATATACTTCTGTATGTCACCTACCTTTTCCAATCTTAAAAATACTTTTTCCACAAAGACTTCCCTGGAGCTGGTACAGTTGTTCTTTGGTATGAACTTTAACCTTCTGATAGTGTTACCGTACCATTCTGGGACTGATACTGTATGTATTTTATTTAGTTAATCTATTACCAAAATCCTCCCCGTAAATGGTTAGTTGTCTTTCTCTAATCAGCACTGACTTTTTTTTTTTTTTGTCATCTGACAGGCTGGTCATTTCAACAGGTACTTCCTGAAACTTTATTTCCAAGATTAAATTATTTGTTTTAGGGCATCTGTATTAGGTAACAGCTTATCTACGGCATAAAGATGCAAGATTGACAACTATTAAACACAAACTAGATTCAAAAGCAATGGTTATATTTTTTTCCATTGTAAATGATGGAATGTTCCTCATTTATACTATTTCATCAAAAGTTTCAACAAATAGATATGCAATATATGTGCAATTAATAGATATTGATGTCATAACAGTATTTAGTTCATGAATTCAAAAATTCTATAAGAAAACGCTTGGCTATTTCCATGGAATTGAAATTATCTTATCCTAACTGATGTAATCACTAGCATGATTGTATCTGCACATGTAGTTTCCGTATCAATTAATGATAGCATATTTCAGAAAAGGAGTACAACCAAGTGTAAATTGAGGCCAAATACATTTTGCTTAAAATTGGGTTTCATTTTGTTATTGAAAGCTTTAATTTTTTTCTCTATATAACCCTTACTTCTCCAACTACCTTTTTAGTGTGTAAGATGGAGTAACCTTAATATGGTTATATTCTGATTCATCTTCTCTTATACCTCTCAAAAAGTCTGTGAAGTATGTATTTCTGTGTGAAGGAATCGTGGAGACATCTGGAATGCCTTATGACTTCATGGGCAGAAAGTTAAAAAGTCTTCCTGTGTGGATATAACAAGGAAAACATGAACCGTTTTCATTCATCTGACAAGCACATTTGGCTTTCTTGAATGAAGCAGAAAGAACCTCCCCCAGGTGGCAGTAGTAGCCTGTTTCCTAAGAAGTGATTTTGAACTAGAATTTTATTTTCATTTTCTTCCTCAAACCATAAACACATTCTTCAAATAGGCAACCTACATCAACACGTACTAATTGTGTGGAAGATTTTTGAATAAAGGTAAAATGAAGCCATCTTTCCTATATTCCATATAAAATGTGACAAATGTAGAAGTTTCTTAGTTTTCTACTTTGCAATCATAATTTAAGTCATTTGCTGAATGCAGCAGTTGACAGTTTAACAAATAAGGTTCAGAGTTCATATGTGTGATTAAAAGTTCCAGTGAGGCTTCAAAATTTAAAAATAATTTCCAACAGGTTTAATGGTGGTTTTAAATCTAAATCAATTTAGAGATTACATAGAAGGGTAATGTATTGTTATTAGATGATGTTAAATAATTGATCTTAATTCTTTTTGGATCAGAGTGAAAAAACAACTTGAAAAATTACCTTCACTCTTTACAGAAACTTGGCTAAATATAATGTAGGTGGAATAAAACTGTATTACTTTAATGGCTGGCTCCAGGGTTTCTCTGAGGAAGGAAATTCTTTGAGAAAATAGTTCGATTAGCTACTTGAAGTAGGAAAGGGGATCCTGATAACATAAGTCAAACTCACAAAAAGTGATTGCCAAACTGCTGGGAATGGGGGAAGAGCGAAGAAGAGAGTAGAGAAGATTGGGGTATATCAAGAATGGATGGAAGGAGGGAGAGAGAGAGAGAGAGAGAGAGAGAGAGAGAGAAGGGGAAAGGAGAAGGAGGTAGTGGGGGACATTAGAACATGGCAGGAATCTGGATTTCCCACTTGTGCAAATGGCTAAAGGACTGTGTTAGAGCAGAGATAGCTAATGTTCAATTTTAAGTTCTTTGCATTTCTGGGATATAAAGTAAGCTGCGTTCATGATTACTTTGTATGAAGGTGGATTTTTGTTTTTGTTTTGTTTTTGATTGTTGTTAGCATTTTACTTTATTTTATTTTGTTTTGATGGAAATTAATGGAGAAACCTGAGGTCCACTCTAGGTTAGCACAGGATAAGGACCACAGAACTGGAGATTGGAAATGACATCTAAACTGAGGTAATTGAGAAGAGGCAGGAGGTTGAAGCTAGAAGGACACTAGTCCCTAGGAGCTTTCAAGAATCTTACGAAGGAACTTAGACTTTACACACTCTGAAATGAGATACTATGTTGGAAGGGTGACTCTAGTTGACATGAGTAACAATTATATTTCAAATTACACACATAAGCAGAGTATTAGTTTGCTAGGACTATCATAGCAAAGTATCATAGACTGAGTGGTTTAAGTAACAAAAGTTAATTTTCTCACAGTTCTTGAGGCTAGAAGTGTGAGATTAGGGCATCAGCTCCTGAAGCCTCTCTCCTTAGCTTGTCCATGGTCATCTTGTCCCTGTCTCTTCACGTGGTCTTTCCTGTGTATGTTTGTGTCCAAATTTTTTTCTTCTTAAAAGGACACCAGTCATAGTGGCTAAGGGCCCACCATAATGACCTCATTTTAACTTAATTACCTCTTTTAAAGGCCCTGTCTCCAAATACATATTCTGAGGTACTAGAGGTTAGGATTTTAACATATGAATTTGAGAGAGACATAATTCAGCTCATAATGCACACATACACATATATTAACACTTGTGCATATATGTATACATTATAATTATATAAATTGTACATCGCTATACTCAATAAAATTGTGTCTCTATACTCCATAAAATTGAGGTTTAGTATAAGCAGTCCTTGACTTACGGCAATTTGAGTTAACACGTACTCTTATTATGGTTGTAAACAAATTCCAATTTTCATTGGCTTGAGCTGTGAACACATTGCTTATATGTTATGTCTTTTCATAATAAAGAAGACCCTTAGAGTAATAACCAGAATCTGTAATTATGATGTCTAAATGACCTTAACCTTGGCCAACACTGTTGTAAGTTGAGGGGAGCACTGATAAGCTGGCTATAGTTGGTGGTAACTTAATTAACTCAGGTTCAGCTGGTCTTAGAATAAGACATCAGATCTTACCGTTCCAAAAATTTCAGAGAGCACTGGTCAGCAGTTTGAATTTTGAGGACAGTCCTAATTTGAATGCATTTTGAAGTTTCTTGGAGCCATGAAGAATACCCATGTCTGAATAGGAATACCGATGGGAATACAAGAAGGCTTCAGTCCAAACTTGGGTGGTTTCACATTTTAAAGACTACCAGTCTCATCCTCACTCAGGAAAATTTATGATATTGTTTTTTGTTTGTTTGTTTTTTGCTTTCCTCCTGAGGATTTCTGATTGATTTTTTTTAAGGATTATAAATGAAATTAGTGTATTTCAAAGCATCTAGGAAATTCAGAATAGAAGAGGGGAAAATAGGATTATTTAAAACATTTTATTTCCTGGCCTGCATGGGACAGTGGCTCCTCTTGGGGACTGACACAGTAAGCACATTTCTTTTTCCAAATTACCCATGTCCTCCCCCTACTTACTCCTCTTCCTTAAGTAACACTACTGTGATGAGAAGCATTAATGATGGGATTATGTTTCGCATGTGAATGGTGTGGAGGCGAGACTAATTGTTGGCAATTACTTAATCAGCGTATGGTATTCTTTTGCTATGCTACTGCATTCAGTTTTCTAAGATTTACTTATAATTTTAACAACTCTATTAATAGT